TTTTTTCTTCATCTAATTTCATTTAAAAATGTATGACAAATATAAATTATTCACAGGTCGAAACAGGAGAAGATTTCCTATCAGCTGATAACAAAATTTTCTTTTCAAAATGTATTTATTGAAGAGTTATCGAAGAAATATAAGAATCAACACTTCGCGTCATTTTTTTAAAATTCTATGAAAAGTACGAATGTATTTTGGTAGTATCTCTCTTTTTATTGCATCATCCCGCTTACGAATATGTTGTAAAAATAAATTATACATGATTCGAGAGAGGGAAGCAAAAGCTCTATATTTTGATAAAAAACGTTTTCTTTCAGCACCCTTCTATTCAAGAGAATTAAGGACCAATGTTTGTCCTGTTACTTTCGCGTCACACATTATGCCAACAAGATACGGAAAACAATTGTACAACCAAATTTTTGGATTTAGTTGAAAACGATTGATCTACGATATTTAAGGTGACAAATGATAAATGGCAAACTGTATTTCATGAAACAGAAAATGTGTATTACACACAACTTGGAGAGAATCAGTAGCATAAACGATAAACAGACACTGCAGACAGCATTAATAATCTAAAATTTTCACGGTAAGAATTTATGTCTGAAATCAACTCGAAAATAATTCAAAATTTCTATGTTCTATAGGAGAGATTTATTTGTGTGATCTAAAAATATCCATAAAAGTATAAAGTTCTATCAGGATCTATCCAATAGTGTCAAATCTCTAAATTGAACTCAGTTATTGAGGATCTTTTCAGATGATCTATAATTGAATAATCAAACTCGGATATTCAGATATTCAATCATTGATTAATTTCAGACATTCGAATGTATGTGAGATATACCTTATGTGTTGTGTGGCATATTTTATGACTTAAATGATGGTAAACTCTAGTAGATCGTGATAGATCCTACCAAAAGTACTGATAGAAATTAATAGAAACTGGATTTTTTTTTTGAGGGTGTGGGTGTGGGTGTAGACGTGCAGATGACCCACACCCACACCCACACCCACCCACCCACCCACACCCACACTCACCCACCCACACCCACACCCACACCCACACCCACACCCACCCACACCCACACCCACACCCACACCCTATATTTGAACAAGCCGACTCTTTTTAGAAAGTTGTTGTTTTTTTAAATATTGGACCTTCAAAAGAGAGAAGATCAAAAAATGCGATTTTTATCTCAGATGTCTTTTATGGATGGTTCTTTATAGGCTTAATGTGAAGGCAAATATACTGGATCTGACAAAAGTTTTGTCAATATTTGAACAGGTAAACTATACACATAATTGTATCTTTTCTATTCGAACGTACAAAATTCGATTTTCTATCGTTTTAATTTAAAAAAGAATATTCTAGGATACATTATGTAGTGCAGTGAATATAGTACTTTACTTTGCAAGTACATTATTTCTATGTTGTCAAAGCATTTTTTCAAATTGTAAACAGTTATCTAAAAGATATATTATTCGTTTGTGAATTCTACATCAAATATTTGTTCAGAATTATTTGTACATATTCACTAACAATCTATATTTAACTGATAGAAATCATTTGTTTAATTATTAACAGAAGAAAAACGGAAGCTACTTTCAATTAATTAATTCATCTTACAATATGCATGAAAATGTCATTTGTTTTTCTTAGTATCGTAAGCTATTTAATCAACAGAAAAGCAGATTACCCATAATTGTATTATGGGTCATCCACACGGTCTTTTCAACTCTTTCTAGCAGCAGATTATGATTTGAAAAGTGAATATAACCATAATTAGAAAAAGAAAAACAAATAGATAATATTCATTGTTTTTTTTTTTGGAAAATTAAAATCTATATCTTGTGAAACGGCAGTCGAAGTTATGTGTAATTACGTACTTTTTAGAAATATTTACAAAATAAAGAAGTTTGTTAAGCTTCTGTCATATCTAATTATTTTTAGAGATGTACAGTTTCAGTTTATTGACCATCGACAGTACCGTAGTCAGTATGCACTGACTACAAGGTCACACCGATACATTGGCACCAGTGTGTTCACTGAAGTATTGAAACGCACTGTTACAAATATGGCATCTTCTGACAGAGTTGATGTTTGAAGTTTACAGCGAACGCAGCTGTCAATCTAATCAGTGCTTCAATGGCATTGATGTCACCCATGTACACTGACACTACATATCCTTAGTTATTCTAGTTAATTAATTTATTTCTCTATATTTTTCTGCTTGTGATTGAAACTTTCTGTTTTGTTGTTTTTGCTGAATAGATTACGTAGGTTAATTTCAATTTTCCATCTTAGATAAAAATTATTAAAATTCTAATGATTTTATCAGCAAAAACACGATGTACTAGTCTTACATGCAAAAAAAAATAGTTTTCTCTCTCTCTTTTTTTTCTCATTTCCTGTTTCTATGAAGAGAATTTCTTTGTCTTTATCGGTTTCTATATACAAGAAAGAAAGAAAAAGATAATTTCTACTATAATAGGATTCTATATGTAACATACTTTTTATTTAGCAAATATTATCAAACTTTTGACCTGTCAAAACTTTCATCTACAGGTTAAGTAACTATTGTATTATAAGTTCTATAAAAGAATAATTTATTTAATTTGAACTTTTTACAATTATCGAACAACAAGATTTACAGAAAAAATTATATACTTGCAGTAATCGTCATAAGTCCTGCTAGCAGGTAAAAAACAAGTGTATAAACATCAGTCGTTTGATCTTAAATTTTATTCATTAATAGAAGGCGATGAATTCTGATAGCAGGCAGCAATCTAAATTTGATCGATCGTCATACGAAGATACATAGCCAATATAGTTTTTTTTTTATGCAAACAAGAGGATATTACAACATTAGGAATAAAGTTCATAGAGTTTGATCCCTTATTCGAGAAGCAATTGTTGTTTTTCTCGCGGATAAAAATTTCATGTCAAACAATTATAGTTTGCTTGATTGATAAAGTTATCATTGAATATTCTTAGTCTGACAATTGATCAAATTTGTCAAAAAGTAATTTATAATTCCAATTATCTGTCTTGAAATGTTCTCTAATGCTTTTGTCTGTGACATAGTTAAGACATATTGTTGAACTTTATTTGTCAATACAAAGATGTTAACCATTGAAAATAATGACAAAAATAGAAAAGTGTCAAAAATTTTTAATAATGTTTCTTTTTTAATTCTAAATTTGATATATTTAGTAAGGTCGATCGGTTTCGAGTTGATGCTTGCGGTTAAGCTTTACTCAAACTCTGTTTGTGATTAAAGTACTATGCACTTGATAGTGAGACTTTTGACGACTACCCTATATAGAATATTTATAGAATCCAGATGAATGTTCTTTTTAAATTATTCATGAACAATTAAACATTTAAGAAATTTTTTTTTTCTACAAGACTTATAAAATTAATAATTATAAATTATTTTTCTCATGATTCAATTCTAAATTATTCATATTCTGATTTGTATGTAAAAGAACTTTAAACTTAGATTCTACTCTTTCATTTTATGAAACACATCATATCCATAGTATTACGTGTAATTTTATATTGATTAACCCTTTGGCTATCGCCGACGTATTTATGCGTCAGAACCCTAACTCTAGACATTGTGTGCTCCTTAACTCATCATTTTACTAAGACAAACTACAGAATCATTCCATAAAAGACAAATAAATTTTCTGCAAAATCGCTACTTCCATCTCTTATGCCACATGGCCAAACAATTAATCACATAATGAGATATAATTAAGCTAATGGTATTTCCGTATATTGCTTAACATTTATCAAATTTTCTTTATAAGTGTTATCACTCGAAGTGATAGTCTATTTGCGTTCTTTTTTCTATCAAACAGAACAATCTAAAAAATAAGACACCGTGCAACCATCTTATTGAAATGTTGTTTTCTTTTCTCTTATTTATAGAATATCTACTTCATTAACTAGAACAGATGTCTATATTGTTTTATCTAAAGAGGTCCCATGTCCTCAAAATCGCTTAAAAATTGGTGATTTATCTAAACGATTATCGTCCAATTAATTGCGATAAATCGCCAATTTTTTTTTCGATTATTTTGGCGATTTATCTGATATATTACGACTGTCTAGCCGATTTTTATCGTTCATTTTATCAATAGATTATGCGATTTTACGTATATAAACTTATGCTTCACTGTTTTATTGAAAATCAGTAGTTGTAAATTTCGGTTAATCAATATTTTATTTAAAAAAAAATTTAACAATGACATCTTTCTACATGAACAAAATTTATTATAAAAAACACAAAACAAATTCATGCACCAAATAGTTTCTCATAATCTCATGAAAAAAAATTCAAAAAAAAGACAGAAAACACAAAGAAATAAAATATTTATGTAACTAAATCTAGAACGAAAAGAATAGTAATCGGAAAAATATTCGATCTGAAATAAATTATCTTTCACATCCTTCGAGATATGAAATCTTTTTTGTTTTTAAATTTATATGATTATCTTAGAAAACTGTGTAGAAATTACAGCTGTGACTCTCAATTTTCTGAATAGTTGAATATTTTTCTAATTCATTGATAAAGCATATAAACATAAATCATATTCAATCTAGATATATGAATTCAACAATGAATAGTTCATTATTAATGACACCGACATGTTCACTAAAACTTCGTTTTTATACATCTGATTATTTATTTTTTAAATTACTTAATGCAACATATTTACGTTTGCTTATTGGTCCAGGTATATTACTTAATACACTTTGTCTGTTTGTTCTTTCACGTCCAAGATTATCAAATAAATCAACAACTGTTGTTTTTTTACGATTTCTTGCAATTTTTGATATTTTGGCTATTACACTTAAATATATTCGAGCTGAACTTAATTATCAATCAATTGAAAAAAAGAAAGATATTATTATAATAACATCTGTATTTTGTAAAACACTTTATGTTGGTATGAATGCATCTATTTCAATTACTATGTGGACTATTGTTTTAATGAGCTTGTAAGTAATTCAAAATAGACAACAGAAATTCATAATATATTAATTGTTTTAGAGATAAAGTTGTAGCTGTTAGTTATCCACTCAAAGCTGGTATATGGATAACACAAAAACGAGCATTTTATGTATGTTGTTTTACAAGTCTTTTACTTTTAATTGTCAATTTATATTTTATTACATTATCGGATGCACTTCCAGCAAATAATAATCAAGGATATTGTGGATTAATTAAAGTTTCTTTAATAATTGATATTCTTACAGCTTCTATTTTACCTATTGGTAAGTATTATTGATTATACTTAGGACAATCCAAAAGTAGTAGCGGCTGCATCTTAATTTTGTATAGAAGGCTTAAGAAAACTTTCTCTCTACAGGGTGGGAAATAATATTATTCAAGGAAGTAGTGCTATAATTTCAAATACAAAACATTATGAATTTTATATCAAATGAAAGCTTGTCAAAAATGGGGTTCATTGATACTAAATAGTGAGGGTTATGAACATCTTTTAATGTCGAACTTAAGAAGTTTTTAGAAATTTGATACATTTTTTGGAACTGGAAAACTAAGATGCCATTAATTGAAAAAATAGAGTAAAATATTTCTCTTGGATATTTTCACATGGTTCGATAGAGCTCGTTGAGTTCTACGAAACTGTATATATTTAAAACTTTTTAAGTCAGTTTTTTGCGATAAAAAATTCAAAACGCTAGTTGAAAAAATGTTAAAGAAGGTTAAAAAAATCATACATTGAGATGGAAAAGAAACACGCAGGTTTTGAATAAAATTAATTTTTTTTATTATTATTTTTACTTCATCAAATCCTCTCGAAATATACTCATTGGAATCAGTTTTTCACGCTGTGCTGAATGAGTATATTTTGAGAGGGTTTGAGGAAGTAAAAATAATAAAAAAAAAACAAATTATATTGAAAAACTGCGCATTTCTTTTCCATCTCAATGTATGATTTTTTTAACCTTCTTTAACATTTTTCAACTAGTATTTTTGAATTTTTTATCGCAAAAACTGACTTAAAAAGTTTTCAATATATACAGTTTTGTAGAACTCAACGAGCTCTATCTAACCATATAAAAAAGTCCAAGAAAAATACTTCATTCTATTTTTTTCAATTAATGCCATCTTAGTTTTCCAGCTCCAAAAAAGTATCAAATTTCTAAAATATTTTAAAGTTTGACATTAAAAGATGTTCATAACCTTCACCATTTAGTATCAATGAACCTCATTTTTGACGAGCTTTCATTTGATATAAAATTCATTATATCTTCTATTTGAAATTATAGCGCTATTCCCCTTGAATAATATTACTTCCTACCCTGTATATAGTCTGATAGAGAGAAGAATACTCTATTTTTCTATGTCATTTCATCATACATCAATTAATACGTTGTATTAAAAAAAACACAAAATATATCACAGGATGCAGCGTGAATAGTTCTACAATTTACAAAGAACAATTATAAAAAGATGAGATAGAAAAAACCGAATTCGTCTTTTACTAAAAAACAATCTCGTTTTCAGAACGTCGAAATTTGGTCGCTCAGAATTTTGCCGATTTTGAAAATAAAAAGTGCAACTATAAAATAGCCGACCCTTTATAAAGGATAGAGCTTTTCACGCTACATCTTGTGGTATATTTTGTTTTTTTTGATACAATGCATTAAGTGATGATAAAATGAAATCCAAAAGCATCACACTCATTATGATCTAATGCTACCAGCTAATTTTTAACAAAAACCGTTCGTATCAAAATTTTATTATTATTATATTAGTTGATGTATTATGAAAGGACATAGAAAAATAGAACATTCTTTTCCCCATCAGACTATATCGAGAGAAAGTTTTCTGGCCGCCACTACTTTTGGATTGCTCTAAGTATATACTTAGGGCATACCAAAAGTACTGGCAGTGATACTTTAATACCCTATAGTAGACTTTAAGAAACTTTCTTTCTATATAGTCTGATAGAGAAAAAAAATGCTCTATCTTTCTATACTATTTGATCGTACTTCAGCTAATCTCATAATATTAAACTATCCATAAAACCTATTTCGGCTGATTATGTGCTGGTTGTACTAGATTACAACGTGTGAGAACAGACTAGTTTTCAATCCCTCAAGACATTGTATGAACAACCAAAATATACCATAAGATGCAGCATGAAAAGCTCTACAATTTACATAAAGCCATTTATTTTATAGCTGCACTTTTTGCTTTCAAAATCGATAAAGTTTTGAGGGATCAAATTTTTGGTATTGAGAAAACTGGTCGCATAGAATTTTCCTTTTTTTGAAAACAATTACAATAAGCTTTACTGTATAGATTGTAGAGCTTTTCACGCTGCATCTTGTGGTATATTTTGTTTTTCTTTTGGCAAAGCATATCAGGTGATAAACAATGAAATAACAAAAATGAATTCGTTGTGTATCGAAAACATTGTCTTTTTCGCATCTTCACAATTTGATTGCTCCAAATTTTGTCGATTTCGAAAACAAAAATTGCAGCTATAAAATAAGTGGTCGTATGCAAATTGTAGAGCTTTTCACACTGCATCTTATAGTATATTTTGGTTATTAATACAACTAGTAAGAAATCGAAAACTGCAATGCAAAACTTACAACCAGCATATAACCAGCCGAAATTGGTTTTATAGATAATTTAATACTATGAGATTAGTTGAAGTACGATCAAATAGTATAGAAAGATAGAGCATTTTTTCTCTATCAGACTATATAGAAAGAAAGTTTCTTAAAGCCTACTATAGGGTATTAAAGTGTCACTGCCAGTACTTTTGGATTGCTCTAAGTATATAACTAAACATTATTAAGATTACAAGTTTTAAATCTATTGATGATACTTTACATAGTTATTATGTTGTTGTTTTTTATATTTTATATCAGTTCTTTTATGTATAACTCAATGAGTTTCAATAATAAGATGCTAGCTATTGTAAAAATATAATTAATTAATGTAAGTCGGTGGCAGATTACAATCAGGAAGAACTCTTAGCCTTTGGGATGTATCCTGAAAGCTTCACATAAGCTTTTTTTTCTAGGCTTGCAAATTTTTTTTTTTATTGTAATGTATTTTATTCGGATATTATTACTTTCGGAGGCAAACAGTTGTAACGCTTAATTGTCCCTTTAGGGCCGGAAGGGTCATAGGGAGAACTTGCTTAATAATAAAAAAATTAATTGATGTAATTTTGTAATTCTAGTACGATGAATTAGCATTACTAGAAGTTTTTGAAATATTACACTAAATAAGACATGTCATAAAATACAATGTTTTAATAATTTCGACGATATTTTTTGTCTCGATTGAATCGATCTATTTTTCTTGATATACATAGAACATCATATACTAACTAGAAGAAATCTTGAATTGAGTGAAACCATTTTTACATCACTGATACAATCTGATTATATCATTTAAACATTTTAAACACAAATAATAGAACATACTTTCTATTAGACTTGTGTTTAACAGTACTATTCTCTGAATCATATGAAGATTGAATACTATGTATCTATTACAAATATTTTTCGTTGTTTTCTCAAATAATATACGTAACATATAAATCTATAGCAGATCTCTCCTAATAATTGTCGCGAATCATCGTTGTCAGAAACAGATAGATATTGTTAATGTTAACTCTTTACTAGGGAAGTGTGTGACTGACTTTTTTTGGTTACGATCACGGTAATGTGATCATGGTGAAATTTTTAAAATGTGCGCTATATTTGTTTAGAGAGGTATGAGACACTTATCGATCTAATAGTGGTGATGATTACGATGATATTGACTAATATTAATGACGATTTAATGTGATGGAAAAGATAAATAGTTGTTAATCATTTGGGGTCTATAGTTTTGATGTTGATTAGAAATTTCTAGGCTTTTTGTTAATCATGTTATCGTATTTGAAATATATGAAAATCGAATTAAAAATAAAAATTTGAAAATATACAATTTATAATTGTCATTCGTCAGTTGTTCCGCAACCCTTAGGAAAATTTGACCAAGGTCACAGTCATGCTGTGACCGTGGCTGCTCCACAGGTCCTCACTCTTTACAGTGACGCCTGTGCAATACAAATCATGACCGTTTGTCATACACTATATACATTTTACAGCGTAAAGTAGTTATATAAGAGGAAATCCTTCCATAGACAACCACTTTTTGAGAAAATTGTTTTTTCTATTGCCTTTTTTCATGCTATCCAGGTGAGAATTGGTCGAAAAGTAAGTTTGATCGAAACAATATTTTAAACTCATTTTTTGTTCATTATGGAACTATCACTAGACTAGAAGTACCTCTCAGGAATTCGTCTTTTGATCGAGATCTGAACTCATTCTCAAAACAGATACAATTTTTTTTCTAAAGAAAATTGATAAACATTCAGCTACTTATTTTCTTTTGAGCAAGAAAGAAAAAGATTGGATATACGTAGATCAAGAAAAATTAAATATTGATTGTTTAAATTGAATCGGAAGAAGATAAATTTAGAGATGTTTCTAAAATGATGTTGTAGTTAGAATTGAATATTAAATGAACAGAAAAAAAACATATTGTGTATGCAGCATATTTGTTGTTATTTTGATTTTTCAATAACAATATATTAATTTTCAAGTGATTAGAGTCTTTCTTGTAGAAAATCGATAATAAACATTTAAGTATAAAGTAGTGAAATTTATCAGGATGAGATTAGATTGTAACAGAATGAAGGTGTTTGTATTGTCAGTTGAAAAGACTAGATATATTCGGATCAAAACGAAGCTCTTACCGCCAAACTAACAAATTTTAAATATTAGCGGCCATTGGCTTGCACCGACCGAGACATTCAAATTTTAAGGTATTTACAGTCTATATACGGTGTCTACAATCCAAAATTTCACCAGAACTTTTCCTGTTTTTTTCTTCTTGACCATTGGATAGAGCTCATTGAGTTGCATTGGAAAATATGTATTTCATATTTTGAAAAAAGAAATTTAAAAATAAGTTTACGAAAGTTAAAGTTTTGACTCTATTTCTTATTATATTTAAGAAATAATGGTATTTCTAATGCAATTTGGCGAGCTCTATCCAATGGTCAAGAAGAAAAAAAAAAGAAAAGTTCTGGTGAAGTTTTGGATTGTGGACACCGTACATAGACTGTAAATACCTTAAAATTTGTTAGTTTAGCTGTGAGAACTTCGTTTTGATCCGAATACATCTAGTCTTTTTAACTGACAATACAAACATCTCCATTGTAAGAAGGTTCTCTTTGTAACTTAATTTGAATTGTTGTTTACTTTCGAATTTTAAAATTTAATACATTTCTCATTTTTTTTGTTTTTCTTGTTAGGTTTAATCACAATTATTAATATTGTTATTGTGATCATTCTATATTGTGCTTCTCGTACATCATTTGATTCCTATATAAATGAGGATAGAATAGATTTACGAAGTTTGCCAATAGACGTTATGAAAAACGAACTTATATTAGCTAGATATCATTTTCAATCGTCACAAAATTCATCATCAACAACAGATACAAATCAAGCAATAAAACGACGTACAAATGCACAAGTAACACGAATGCTATTAGCTGTTACATTATCATTAATTATATTTAATATTCCAAATACAATTATATTTCTTCTTACAAAAATTAATAATTCACGACAATTATTACATGGACGTTCATGTTTAGAAATTAGTGATAATGATATTAAATCATATAAAATTATGTTTTATTCAATTGTTATACAAGATATATTATCAGATTTACCACATATTATAAATTTTTTTCTTTATTGTTTATCTGGAAAAAAATTTCGAAGTATTTTTCAAAATGAAATTCATTATTTTATTCATTGTCATTTAATTAGACGACGAAATCAACAATGTTTTACTCGATGTAGTAGTCATCATCTTGAAGTAAGCAATCCATCAAGTCTTAATTTTAGTCAAAGACGAAGATTATCTAGAAATATTTCATGCGAATCTCAAAAGTTCAACTAATATTCCATTTAATACTTCAACAAATGAATTAACTTTTAATGAGGAAAATCATAATAAATTAAATGAAAATAATGAACTTCATCAATCGCGTTGAACCTATATTTATTCACTAATATATTAAATATTGTTTTTCGTTGCTGTGATCTAGATGTGATATGATCTTAATTTGATGTAAAATAAAAAAACAAGGCATCATATTGTTATTAATTTATTGATATTTTATTGTAAAACAACGAAAAAAAAATGAAATTTTAGTCATATGTCTGACTATTTTGATGAAGGTCAAGTTTTTTAGACTATGGGTGAGGTGTGAACGTCTATAGCTTATCGAGTTTGACTATGGAAGATACTGAATCTTTTTTGTTTGACCATAGCCAAACGAGAAATTCTGACTTTATTTGAACAAAAACAATTTTCTTTGTCCAATATCTAGAGTATGAAGTCATTTATGAGTTCTGAAGAGAAAATTCTGCAACTCCAAAACCAAAATCGAGTCGAAGATGATGAAGAGACTCGTCCATCTGCTGCATAAGAGTTAATGCTTGCCTGGCTATTTGTTGATAAGGTGTTCGATCTTGACTACACATTCGAGTGATTTCGTAAGAAACAAAGGTTAACGATGAAATGCCAATGAAGAGAGAGCCACGAATCCGCGCTATCTCTTCTTTATTCTGGTTCATAGTAGACAGCAAGATGGTTGACAAATTCGGCAGATGTTGTGGTAAAGTGTCAAATGATCTAATATAACATTGTCGCAAATCGAGTATTTTAACGGAGAAAAGTGGATGATGTGTCTGCATGAAATTTTCGTTTGCAGTCGTAAGACTGCGCAAGTTTGGCATACAATGGAGTAACTGAGGAAGAAGTCCATAGCAGACGCAAGCTTCGTCATAACAATTTGATGCAAAGCGAAGAAAATGGACGTGATAGAAAATATCTTGATCAATAATTGTCTCTGAAACACGGTTATCGTTATGAACGAATGTCAAACGACAGTTGATCGATGTAAGATATGGCATATGTCTTGATAATGATCGAAACGAAATGGGACGAGCAATATGAGTTCGCGTGATATAGAGATGACGAACTGTAGAGAACGAAAATTGAGTATTGAGCTCAGAGCACGAAGTGAATCCATGAAGTTTATCAAAGGCGAATGGTAACGAATAGACATGCCCAAATTGACCCTGAGGATGTGACTCGTCAATACCTTCAACATGATGTCCAATGTGATCGAGAGTCGACGGTATTGTAATTATGCTTGAGCTCTTGTCTTCGACTATGAATGAGATATAGAAATCGAATCGGTCAAATGAGTTTCTATACCGTACGAGTATTGACCAGAGATCTTTATTAACCACAATATGATCCAACTTGAGTGCAACTCGTTTGAGCACTGTTTTACTTGGGCAACATTGATTAATAAAAGGTTCGATTTGGTTCAATGGCAAACGCTCGTTGTTATTTGTGAAACTAGAAAAATATGTTGAATCTTCGCCATCATTCGTACTCATCGAGAGATATTGCAAATAATTTAAGCGACGAAAGTTAGAAATCAATGTGTTGAAACAATGAGATTCATTATTCTCGACATAATGTTTATTGAAGACGTTGGTGAAATTGACATCAAGATGTTGAATGTTGGGTGTATGATCAAGCATTTCTATTAGATCAATGATCGAACGAATACACACATTCAAATAAATCAACTTTGAATGGAAAGCGTCTGCCTTCAGTGTAATATTTGTCGAGAATCGGATCACTGTTTGAGGAATTACTCTATTTTTCTGATTATCATAAATGTCATTTTCATCAAACCATACGCCGAGGTTCTTCAGATTCATATTTGATACTAGAACGTCCCAGTTGACTACATTGATAAGACTAATCGAGTTGATTTGGTTAAATTGATAGTCGGTCAACAAATGGATGTTATGTTGATTGATTTTCAGCATTTGGATCATTCCACAGATCCATTGCAACTGTTGTCGATCTCCTTGCCAACCGTTGGTGAGATCGATTCTTTTGATATAGAAGTGAACGAGATCAGCATAGCGCCGAGTAAGTTGTGCAAATGCTCGAAGAATATCGACAGTGGAAAGAAAGTCAAAGATACAGTAGATCACTTCGTTTGGAAGTACAACAAATCGAGCTTGCTCTTGTGACATGTTGTATCTATGGCACTGAAAGCAACAGAATAGAATTCAAACTCGTGGCAGCAAGCGATAGAATAGAAAGGAA